TAGTTAACTTCAGATCTTGGCTCCTGGTTTAGAATCATCCTGTAGTCTGAGTTCATATTATTCCTTTTGATCTTAATCTGTATACTTGTTGTGAAGTTCTATCCCTATTGCCTATCAAAGCTCTGTAAAAAGGGCATGCCCAATAAGATGATGCTTGCTCAGCACTTAGAGATGATCTTTGATGCCTACAACATTGGAGAAACATAGACTTTAGATGAGAAATACCTGAGAGTTCTCCCTCCTAACCTTCCGTGTACTCGGATATGGCTTAAATGGTTTCCAACCACTATGCACTTTCCCTCCAACATGGGACACAAAAACCAAGAAAGGTTCTTCCTGCCACCAAGGGACAAGACCACATGTACAGAGGTCCTATACCTCTGTACTAACTGTTGATCAGCTATGCTTTTGTAGAAAGATCTTGACCAAAAGTGAAATGAATAAGAGAAATCTCAACTAACTTGGATCTGGAAGGCTTGCAGGAGGAGCTCTCATGCCCTATCATACATCATCAATTACTTCAAACAGGCAAAGACATATGCTTGCATCTTTGACAGGAAGTAGAACTACTTTACTACAGAATGAAGATTTCTCTCCCCAGCAAGAGCCCAGCCAGTGGGAAATGCTCTAGCTCAGCCAATGAGAAGTCATTGCCACCCTGAACTGTTCCTTTCCACCAATGGACTTTCATTTAGAATAGCTCCTACCTACTCCTCCTTTTTCTTTATAAAAGCAAGCTACCTTTCTTAGTTCTCTGGATTTGCCTATGGTTTGCCATAGCACGCACATCCTGAATTGCAATTCTTTTGGCTGTTTTTGAATAAACTCATTTTGAGGGCAAAACAACTAGTGAATTTTCTCTTTAAGTTGACATAAGCTATATATTCAGCACAATGTTACATAATTTACATTGATTCTAGGGCTGAGAAAGAGGTCAGGGAGTGGCATCCATGGTAGGTGGAGCAGATGACATCTTTATCGACTAGCAATGCTGACCCAGTCTCTCCTTTCTGTATAAGAAGTAAATTAAAAAGTCTATCCATAAATCACCAAGTTAAGACTTTAAGAAAGATTAAAAAGATACAGTTGATCATCATTATTCTCAGATTCTGTATTTGAAAATTCAACTAAAATTTATTTGTAATCTCAAAATTAATACTCATGGGGCTTTTGCAGTTATTCAGACAATGTATACAGTGTGGCAGAAAGTTTGAGTTTCCCTACATGCGTGTTCCCAGCTGAGGCTGAGCAAGGTGATGCAGTGACTTCCTGTTCCAGCTCTCATACTATAAGTGTCCTTATCGTGGACATTAAGTATCATGTTTTCCCACATTTTTATGTTTTTTGTTGGTGATTTCACTGTTTAAAATGTCCTCCAAGTGTAATGCTGAAGTTCTGTCCAGTGTACCTAAGTGCAAGAAGGGTGTTATGCACCTTATGGAGAAAAAATGTGTGTTGGATAGGCTTCCTGTAGGCATGAGTTATTCTACTGTTGGAATGAGTTTGACCTGAATGAATCAACAATATATATTAAATAAGATGTCTTTAAACAGAAACACACATAAAACAAGGTCATGCATGGATCAGTAGATGAAATTCTTGTGACCAGAGGTTCACAGAAACCTAACCCTGTATTTTCTCTAGGAGCAATGTGGTTCACTCCTCGCTAATTCAGTGTTCACGGTGACTCTAGAGAATCTAAATTCCACAAATAATGAGAATTAACTATATATGCAGTTGGCTTAGCCTGAGTTCTCTCAGAAGCAGACCCCAAACAAGGAGTTTATTTGGGAAATGGTCCCAGGAAACATTGGTGTGAGAGTAGGGAAGTAAGACAGGGAAGCAAAGGTAGCCATAAAGGGTAAATTATCAGCAAATTACCTCTATGGGCAATTGAGGCTCAACCTGGGCAACTCTGGGAGTCACTGAAGAACCTGTGCCTTGGAGTTTAATTCCATTATGGTCCAAGAACATACTGTGTATAAATTCAGTTCTTTTAAATTTGTTCAAGTTTGTTTTATGGCCCAGTGTGTGGTCTATCTTGGCAAATGTTCCATGTGTCTTAGAAAAGTTTGTATTCTATCAGTTGTTGGGTGGATATTCTTTGAATGTCACTTACTGATTTTCTGTCCACTTGTTCTATAGATTGATGAGACAGAAATGTTGATGTTCCTGAGTATAATTGTGAATTTGTCTATTTCTCTATTCAGTTCTATCAAGTTTTGCTTCATGCTCTGTTATTAGATGCGTACAGGTTGATGATTGTATGTCTTCATGATGAATTGACCTTTTTATCAGTATGTATTGTCCCTTTTATTCCTGAAAAATAATTTTTCTTGATCTGAAGTTTAATTTATTTGATATTAATATGGATAGTACAGCTTTCTTTTGATTGGGGTTTGTGTGATTTATCTGTTTCAAATACTACAGATACTAGAGAATACTAAGGATACTCCTTGGTATCCTTTTAATATGTATATCATTGTATTTGAAGTAGGCTTCTTGTAGACAATATATGGTTGTTTTTTGTTTAAATCCAATCTGACCATCTTTGTTTCTTAAATGGTGTGTTTAGATCATTTACATTTAATGTGGTTACTGATATGGTTGAATTAGGCCTTCCATTTTATTTTTCTGTTTGTCTCCCCTGTTTTTGTTCTTCCTTCCCCCTTCCTGCCTTCTTTTGAATATTTCTTAGTATTCCATTTTAATTCCATTCCATTTCATCTGTTACCTTTTTTGTCTATATCTCTGTATATATTTTTCCACTGGTTGCTCTAGAGATTATAATATACATGACTAAGTTTTCACAGTCTACTTAGAATAATATTTTACAGCTTCAGGTATAACATAGATTTGCAACCATATAGGTCTCTTCATCCTCCGCCCTTTATCTTATAGTTGTCGTATGTGTTATACTTACATACAATACATTGATACCTTCCGAGACAATGTTAAATTTTTTGCTTTCAAACTTTGTACATATTTTAGAGAACCTTAAAAAGGAAAAATATCATTTAACCAGACTTTTATTATTTCTATTGCTTTTTCTTCATTCCTGAAGTTCCAAGTTTCCCCTGGGAACATTTGCCTTCAGGCTTAACTTCCTTTAGCAATTTCTCTTAGAGCAGATACACTGGCAATGAATTTTCTTTGTTTTCCTTCATCTGAGAATAACCTTATTTTACCTTCATTTCTGAAGGATATTTTCACTGGACATAGAATTCCAAGTTGACATTTCTTTTAGCACTGCAAAGATTTTAGACCACTGCATTTATGGTTTCTGATAGAGATCTTTAGTATTCTCTAGTATCTGTAGTATTTGAATTATTGTTTCCCTATGTGTAATGTATCATTTTGCTATGGAGATTTTCAAGATTTTTCTTTATCTTTTGTTTTCAGCAGTTTGATTTTTTATGTGTATAAGCATGGTTTTCTTTGAGTTTATCTTGTTTGGGACTCACTGAACTTATAGAATCTATAAATTTATGTCTCTCACCAAATTTGTGGAGTTTTTAGTCACTGTTTCTTCAAACATTTTGTCTATCACAATATTGTTCTCTTCTTCAGGGACTCTAATGATATTGATATTGCCCCACAGATCCCTTTGACTGTTTATCTGTGTTTGAATAGTTTTTCTGTCTGTTCTTCAGACTGAATAATTTCTATTGATCTGTCTTCAAATTCACTGATGGTTTTCTCTGTCATCTCTATTCTGCTGTTGAACCTCCCTAGTTCATTTTTTTCTTTTAGATATTTTATTTTTCAGTTCTAAAATTTCTATTTGGCACTTTTTTATAGTTTATCTCTCTCTGCTGACAATGTCTATCTTTATTTCCATTTCAGAAGTGCTCACATTTACCTCATGGAGGAAGATTATAATGGCTACTTTAAATTATTGACTCCTATTGGTTTTATTTCACATTGCCTCATGAGTTTGGTATCTTGCATTTGGCCACTTGGATTTTCTCTGTCTGTGATGCTTTGTGCTCCAGCTTGTCTGTTGTGCTCCTCCACCCTCATTGTCCAGTCATACATTGGGCAGTCCTGCATTTGACAATACCATGTCAAAGGGATGTCTTGGGTCCTCAGCTAGGCTATTAGATCTTTGCTGATTAGGTTAGGACTATTGATTCCTTTTCTATCCCCTCCCCCAACAGTGTCTTCAGTGTGTTTGATCATGCAGGACAATTTGAATTAAATTGAAGTAAGTTGATTCTTTGATAGAAAATTCACAAGTTGAATTTAGCCAATATACTTTGTCTATTACAATGTGATTATTATCTTGAATAACTCTTTTCATTTTAAGCATCAGTGGAATTTTATGGAGCAGAAATGTAGTGTACATTTCATACTTCCCAACATTTTTAGTCCAATTATAATTGGAGGCAGTGCTCATAAATCTAATTCTACACCTTACAGAGATTCCATAGGTACCCAGGCCAGATGGGATTAATGTATTAAGTGTTGCTGTCAATCACAGAAAGTTGAAACAAAGCCTTTATTAACGTGATTGATATAACAGGAATGATCTGCCATTCATCTGCTATGGTCAACTGCTTCATGAAGATGTTGGCACTGTTTAGCAAGGCTGGAAAATTGATTGATTCACTCATTCTTCAATCAGTCCTTCAACAGACATTATTGATCATTTAGAGTGTGTCAAGCAGTAGCAGAGGACTCTGTTGGAGTGAGACTGAGGCTTTCATGCAGAGCTCTGGGTACTCACAGAGTGAAGAGTGTGGAGGAGAAGCTGTGGAGAGTTAGGTCTCTGCTCTTTCTTCTGATACAGAGAAGGGAGAGTGAGGCTCCAGCAGAACTGGTTCAAGAAGCCACGCACAGGGAAGGGAGGGTCTTAGGGTCTATATTTGCTATAACAACAACAACATCAATAAGAGTTCAATAACTCAAGTTCAACAATATCAATAACCCATAATGTGCCACATGTATTATCCAAAATTACCTTAGAGGTCAGTACAATTATTTTTATTATTTTACAGATCAAGAAATTAAAGCACAGAGAGTCTCTAACAGCTTGCGCAAAGTCTCAGGGTTAGTTAGTGGCTGTCTGATCTGGAAGCTCAGACTCTGAACCACAATGTTCTCTCTGCTGGTTACTCTTATGGTGAGCAGAGAACCAAGGACATGGATATTGTGAAAATATACAGAGTTTCTGGTAAGTAATACCTTTTTAAAAAATAAATCAGAAAACAAATATTGTATCAAAAAATCAAACACCATATTATTTTAATCCAAATGAGTCTAATCTATGTTAAATTGAATTTAGATAAATGAATTTGCTATAAATGGAAAAGGACCGCGGATTAGAGAGGTACTGATGGAAAACTTTCAGGAAAATATATTTAAGGGTCTAAGACCATCTGACGTTAATATTTGGAGATTTTTATTTTCTTAAAGTAAACAGATGAAATTAATGAATTGTAATTATTGGTTTTTTTAAACTGTAGTAAAATACGCATAAAGGAAAATTTACCTTCTTAACTGTTTTAAGTGCACAGTTCAGGAGTGTTAAGTTGTGCGTTCAATCTCCGAAAGTCTTTTCATCTAGCAAAACTGAAACTCTGTACCCATTAAATCATGGTTCCCCAGTCCTCCCCCCACTTCGTCACTGGCAACCACTATCTTACTTTCTGTATCTGTGAATTTGACTACTCGAGGTACCTCATAGGAGTCAAATCACACATGATTTGTTTTTCTGTGAGTGGATTATTTCGCTTGCTGTAACGTCCTCAGGTTTCATCCATGTTGCAGTGTGTGTCAGTTTCCTTTTTAAAGCTGAGCAGCACAGCATTATACATGTGCACCACGTTTTGTTTATTCCTTCAGCTGTTGATGGACAGTTGGGTTGCTTCCAGCTTTTGCTTTTGTGAATAATGTTATATACCCAGTACATACCCAGTTGTCGATTACTTTTAACCAATTTCTCCAAATATTTGTGAGTCTCTTTCCAAGAAGATAAGCTGTATGTTGTAAGAAATGAGGAGAATAGATAATTTCTGCAAATTTTCTGGGAAAAAACCTCTCTTGATCTACAAATTGTATGAGCTAGCTTTCCATTTTCTACTGGAAAAATAAGACTAGAAAATAATTGTCCTTCATTGAACCAATTGAGTTAAGAGAGTTATGATAACTATTCTCACAGGCCCATAATTTCTGCCCCAGAGTAAGTCAAAAGGCTATGAGTACCTGCCCGCTTTGGATGGGGATGATGTCCCACCAGGGTGAAGACATTCAGCTGGAAAGCATGGTGCTCCCTTGGTCATCAATTTTCAATTAAATAAGGAGCGCCATCCAAACAACCGAAGAGTACCCCTTCAGGCAGAGAGCTGGAAGCAGTGTGGGCAATATCTGAATTTTGCCTAGTATAACTTTGTTTTGGAATGAAGGGTCCACAAAAACCCTTTGATCCAGTCGCTGACCTCTGATGTCCTGCAATTTCTATCTCTTTTCAATTAAAGGAGCTGAAGTTTGGTCTGAGAAGAGACATACCTTCTTGTTTTGCAGGTCTTAGGACAAGGGAAGTTGAGGAATCTTTTCTTTTTTCCTCCCCTCAAAAAGAGGATCAAAGTCAGTACTAGTTCATGTGGCACATTTTTATTTGAATTAGAAAGGATGACACAGCTGGGCATATGCAGCCCCATGAGCACATGGCTTAGCCAGCACCTGGCTTAGCAAACTGAGCTGGCTGGACCTTAGCCCCTACTTGTCCCTTTGCCCAGCAGTGCTTAGATAATGAATATTCTTACACAACTGTACTTGTTCCAAAACATTCTCGTGGGCCCAAGTGCCAGGTACATTGTGAGACTGAATAAATGTTCACAATGCAAAGTGCTTGTTATTTGGCTCAGCAAACAGCAAGAAACTATTTGTATAGGCAGACCCCGAAGAGTTGGAGACGGGAGCTGCCATGTGGACTGGAGTGGTCAGGGAAGGCCTTAGGAATGTGGAAAGAATGTGGGTACGTGGGGAGTAGGGAAAGATGCTCTATTTTTAAAAGATATTTTATCTACTTTTATGAGTGAAAGTCCAGACTACAGGGCAAATCGTGGGCTTTAAATCAGTAGTATGCACTATTGTGGGAAATACACCATAGTATGCACTATTGATCTTCTTTAAGAACTCCGTAGAAGATAGACAGCTCTAAAGTTATATGTTTTTCAGAGAGTCCTACTGTATAATGTATTCAAGGGAATAAGGACTCAGCAGAAGGATATATTTTTAAAGAGAAATAGTAGATAAGACATGAGATGATCCATGGGCTGTTTCACCTTTTCTCTCACTGATGGGTATTTAAAGGCAATAAATTCCTTCTTGACTCAAATAAAGTAATGGCAGATACACCAAAGGCCACAAATCTTGTTAATGTAACTGGGGTTAATTTGCTTAATTGTGGATTTCTAGGCAGTGATTTCTTAAACTTTGTACTCAGCTTTATTAGTTTTTAGAAGCCAGGATCAATTTCTCTGTTGCTGCTATACCTTTTTGAATTCATATTAAGAGCTAATTGCAGATCTCAAGCCCATTTTAAAAATATTAAATTGTTTTCTGGATAAGTTTATTCCTTTTTATTGAAATTTTCCACAGGAAAATGTTTACTTTTTTGGATCAATTACAGATATTGAAAATTGGAGTTCATTCCTTTATGTCTTCAAGAGGGGCTTATTGAGCAGTTACCGTGTGCCAGGCCTGTCCTAGGCACCAGGGGGATGGTGGTGAACCAGACAGAGAGAGTCTGCTTTCATGGAGCTCACATTCTAGTGGAGGGTGGAAAAAAATAGTAGGCAGACAAATAAAGCAATTGCCAGGTATTAAATATTGTGTAGAAAATTCATCAGGGTACTGATTTTAAAAGGTTCTGGGAAGAGGTTTGTCAAGAAAGACTTCTCAAAGGAGGTCAGATTTGAGTTGAAACTTGGATAATGATAAGAAGCTAAATACAGGAATACCTGAGGGAAGAATGTTCCAAGCAGAGGAAACAGCGGCCAAGGCCCTGAGGCAGGAAGAAGGTTGGTAAATTTAAGAAACAGAAGAAAGATTAATGTGGCTTGAATCTAGCAAGTGATGGAGAGAATGGGCAAAGCCAAGAAGGAAGAGAAGGAAATGACCAGATCATTTAGGACCTTGTAGGTTATGGATTTTATCCTAAGATTAAAGAGAAGTCATCAGAAAATTTTAAGTAGGAAGATGTCTTGAAAAGACCAGTCTGGCTGCAGTGTTGGAAAATGGATTTAGGAGAGAAAGAATAGTTAGGGGGTCAATGTAGTAGTGTAGATAACAGAGGAATTTGAAACAAGGTGGAACAGTGAAATGGAGAAAAGTAGGTCGATTCGGCATGTGCTTTGGAGGGAGAGCCTATAGGACCTTAGGATGTTTGGATGGATATAGAACATGAAGGAAAGAGAGGGATTAAGGATAACCTCTAGGTGTTTGGCTTGAAAGATGTGGTGATACTATTGAGATAAAACTGGAGAGTAAGAGAGGAACAGTTGAGTGGGAATGAAGAATCCGTTTTAACATATTAAGTTTAAGAGGCATATTGGAATAAAATTAGGTAATAATTATATAATAATCTAATACGATGCAACTGTTATAAAAAATCCGTATTAAACTTTCAAATGTAGGTGTTAAGTCACAGTTAAGACAATTAAATTCAACCGCAGTTCTTGAGCACCCAATTGAGCTTGGTACTAAGAGTGATCAAAATGAACAAGACAGTATCTCCACCCTCAGCAACTTCCCATCTACTGCAAGATTCAGATAAATAGGTAAGTTAATTTGGAAAGTTAACTTGTTCATATTTGTAAATTTAATTATTAGCAAGTAGCCCTGAAAGCCCCATGGCCTGTAGAAATGCACCAGGGAGGTAAAGGCCTCCCTTGCGGGCTGTTGTGAAGGTGTAAAGCGTCTGGCTGACTTTGGGTTTTAGGGGCTGCAAAGCTGGGTTGTAGCAGGGAGTCACTCCTGTGGCTTTGCCAAGGAGCCAGCTGCTTCAGATCTTGTGTGCATCTTGGCAGTGTTTCTGGTTTTAAGGTTTTCAATGAGCTCAGGTGGATTTCTGTCTAAGGTCCAGGTGGTTATTTTGTAGTATCATTGAGGTACAATCAAAGAGAAGTGAGAAAGAGACAATGAGAATTCCCTCCTAAGTGATGAGGGCTTCTGAAAAGATCCATGAGGAGCTAAGATCTTAGCAGGGCTTGGGAGCATGGGCAGGCCTTACACAGGTGGAGTGAGGTAGGGAGCAGTTGTGTCCGAGGTGAATGCCTAACCCAACTCCCAGCTGTAAGAGCAAGTAGGGTGTGTTCCAGCGATGGTGTAATCCTAGTTAAATTAGAGGAAAGTATTTTTACTGAAAATACAACCTCAGGGCAAAACTGTTGGCCTCTAAAGATCCATGCTTGAATCAGCTCTTTGTGAAATGTTAAAGTGACTGCTTTAATTATCATTGTATGAGAGAAGTTCTAAGGAGAGAGTTGGCACTGACCTGACCTAATCAAGATGGCGGTCCTGACAAAGGACATCAGCAGCCTGTCACTTACACTGCAGAGTTCAACGCATAAGGTTTTTGGGAAATTCAGAAACAACTAAAGTTGTTTATTTTTGAATCCCCTAGTCAATGTGCTCAAGGTCAGATTACTCAAACTGTTTACTATTTTCTAACTGATGAGTTTAGTTGGAAAATGTAAAGTATGATTCACTGTGTCCAGACTGCAGTTGTCTTCTGTCCCGTCTCTCTCCTTTCCTGTAAATCGTGTCTTTGCCTTTGTCCCTTTGTTACCAAAACCTCTCCTTTCCTGCCAGTCCTGTCTTTGCCTTTGTCCCTTTGTTACTGAAACCAAAATGGGTTCCCTCCTGGCAAGTTAAATCAGACTCTCCACTAGAAGTAGTTGTCTCACAAAGTAAAGGATATTTGCAGCAAATAGGAGACCATGAGGAGCCATTTCCAGAGTCCTAGCATCCCCAAACAAAGGGAAGCATGGACATTTATTTTGGGTGGGGAATAAATATTCAAAAGGGAGAGCTGGGCATTATCTTGCACAGGCTCAGTTGGAAAACATGCTTCCTCACACACTGCAGGTTACAACAATAAGGCCTAAGCTCCTCCTGGAGAGATCTTAGCATTGAAAATCAGGCAAAAGTCATGGGCGTGGCTCTCCTGGTGAGGCTAGGTCTGGTTCAGGCTGGTTGGTGATTTCATCTCCCTAACGTAACAAAAGGAAAAAGAACAACTTGGAAAAAGTTAAAATATCTAAACACACCCTTGAGTTCTTAGGGTAGCTAGTCAGTGATACCTTGACCGCAGTCTGTGGACTGTCTCCCTCATATGAACACCAGGTCTCTAGGTTTTTCCCTGGCCCCTGTTGCGTCCCTAGGGTTGCAGCAGGCGGGGATCCAGTGCATATTGGTGTCGACATGCAAGCACTGTGGTCTGGTCTGCTGAGGGGGTAATATGGTGGCAAGAATAGCCTCAATCCTTCAGATGTTCTAGAAAGCACCCCAAATAACATTGGTCATATTTTCTCTAGGAAAAAAAAAAGAATGGTAGGTTTTGCTTTCCTATTTTTTTAAATTAGTAAGATTCCTGTCTTTTCATTTATTTAATGAATGAGAACAATCTGATTTACTTGTTACTGATGTACAAGATCACTCTGGTGTGGAGGATGGATTGGAGAGGTTGACAGTGTGGAGCTGGAGAGCCAGTGGGTGACCACCCTGGTGCCCTGGAGATGGTGGAGCCTGGCTAGTGGAGCAGTGGAGGGGAGACAGAACTCAATCAGAAATTTAGTTTTGGGTCTATTAAGTGTGGGATGATTGTCAGAAATACAAATTGTGATATAAAGTAGGGAGTTGGAAATATCGGTTTGGAGCCCAAAAGTCAGATTAGAGATATTTTCTGACTGGTTACTGCATATAGAGAGGCAACAAAATTTATATAAAAGGACTCTTGTTTTAATATGATTGATGTATTTCTAAGAAAATTTGAATTATGAAAAATTATGTTATAAAACAGTATTTCAGTGGGAAAAAATATCAGAGCAGAAAGTTTCAGACATACAATAGCACTTTTTCCCCTGACAGCCATCTCTATGATAAAGGTTTTATTATTTATATTTGCAGATTGTATTCCCTAATGGTAAAGTGTGTGTTATTAAAAACTCAAAGAGAAAAGTCTAATTTATCTTGTATCCAGACATCTTTGCAATGTTTTAGAACTGTTTGGTAGTTCTTACTCTTTTTTTGTTACTGAAAAATTCTATCCTAAACCCATAAGGTGGGTAGAGAAAGGCTGGTGCCTGTGTAGGGGTGTGGTGGGGACTTTTACAATTGTGTTGTTGCATTGTAGGAGAATGTCCTTGTTCATAAGAAATATTCACTCAAGTATTCAGAGGTGAGGGATTATTATAACAACTATTCATTTTTTTTTAGTTTTAGGAATATCTTAATCAGTTTATTTTATTTATATTTTCCTTTTTATTAGGCATGAGAGTACTGCATAACAAAATACCATCTAATTCAGTCAGAGTTCTTCAGTAGATATAAAGTAAAATTTCTAAGTGTGGAAAAGCATAGGTTAGTTGGCAATGTTTTTCTTTCTTAGTGGTACATGAAATAATAGTGGTACGTTAAAAAATAACTTTACAATAGATGGCATCTTCAGTTATATGAAATATAGTGTACGAAACATTTTGAACTTCTCTTTAATAACATAGTATAGAGATATCATTTATCTAAATATTTGAAAGCCATAGAGAGATTTCTGGCCTATCAATATGGCAATGAAGTGCCAGAAACTCAGGGATACAAAGAGCCCTCCTCTGATTTTTGATACAAATAGCATTTCTTGAGCTGCTGAGGTCTAAAGTAGACTAGCGCAGAGCTTCCCAAACTTCAGTATGCATGAGAATCACCTGGAGAGCTTGTTAAACGAGATCCCTGGGCCCACCCCAGAGAGTCTGACACTGCAGATCTGAGATGAGGGCTGAGAATTTACATTATTTTTTTTGAGATAACATTGGTTTATAACATTAAATCAATTTCAGGTGTACATCATTTAATTTTGATTTCTGCGTACATCATGTTCACTGCCCAAAGACTAATTGCTATCCATCACCATACACATGCGCCTAGGCACCTCTTTCACCCTCCTCCCTCCCCACTTCCCTGCTGATAACCACCAATCTAATATCTGTATCAGTGTGTTTGTTGTTATTTTTTTTTTAAGATTTTATTTTTTTCCTTTTTCTCCCCAAAGCCCCCTGGTACATAGTTGTATATTCTTCGTTGTGGGTCCTTCTAGTTGTGGCATGTGGGACGCCGCCTCAGCGTGGCTTGATGAGCAGTGCCGTGTCTGCGCCCAGGATTCAAACCAACAAAACACTGGGCTGCCTGCAGCGGAGCACGTGAACTTAACCACTCAGCCACGGGGCCAGCCCCTGTTTGTTGTTATTTTTTATCTTCTACTTATGAATGAGATCACAACGTATTTGACTTTCTCCCTCTGACTTATTTCACTTAGCATAATACCCTCAAGTTCCATTCATGTTGTCACAAATGGCAAGATTTCATCTTTTTTATGGCTGAGTAGTATTCCATTGTCTACATATACCACATCTTCTTATCCATTCGTGCCTTGATGGGGACTTAGGTTGTTTCCAAGTCTTGGCTATTGTGAATAATGCTGCAATGAACATACGGGTGCACATATATTTATGCATTCTTGTTTTTGTATTCTTTGGATAAATACCCAGCAGTGGAATAGCTGGATCATATGGTAGTTCTATTCTTGATTTTTTGAGGAATCTCCATACTGTTTTCTATAGTGGCTGCACCAGTTTGCACTCCCACCCGCAATATATGAGAGTTGCCTTTTCTGCACATCCTCTCTAACACTTGTTATTTCTTGTCTTGTTAGTTATGACAATTCTGAGGGGTGTGAGGTGGTGTCTCATTGTGGTTTTGATTTGCATTTCCCTAATAATTAGTGATGTTGAACATCTCTTCATGTGACTGTTTGTCATCTGTATATTTTCTTTGGAAAAATGTCTGTTCAGATCTTTTGCCCATTTTTAAATTAGTTGATGTTAGTTAAATTAGTGTTGTTAGTTTCTTTGTTGTTGAGATATATGTTTTTTATATATTTTGGATATTAACCCCTTATCAGATATATGGTTTGCAAATATCTTCTCCCAATGGTTAGGTTGTTTTTTCGTTTTGTTGATGGTTTCCTTTGCTGTGCACAAGCTTTTTAGTTTGATGTAGTCCCATCTGTTTATTTTTTCTATTGTTTCTCTTGCCTGCTCAGACATGGTATTTGAAAATATGCTGCTAAGACTGATGTCAAAGAGTGTACTACCTATCTTTTCTTCTAGAACTTTCATGGTTTCAGATCTTTCATTCAAGTCTTTAATCCATTTTGAGTTAATTTTTGTGTATGGTGTAAGATAATGGTCTACTTTCATTCTTTTGCATGTGGCTGTTCAGTTCTCCCAACACCATTTATTGAAGACACTGTCCTTTCTCCATTGTATCTTCTTGGCTCCCTTGTCAAAAATTAGCTGTCCATAGATGTGTGGGTTTATTTCTGGGCTCTCAGTTTTGTTCTGTTGGTCAGTGTGTCTGTTTTTTGTGCCTGACCATGCTGTTTTGATTATTATGACTTTGTAGTATATTTTGAAATCAGGGAATGTGACACCTCCAGCTTTGCTATTTTTTCTCAGGATTCCTTGGTTTATTTAGGGTCCTTTGTTGTTCCATATAAATTTTAGGATTCTTTGTTCTATTTCTTGAAAAGTGTCATTGGTACTTTGATAGGGATTGCATTGAATCTGTAGATTGCTTTAGGAAGTATGGACATTTTAACTATGCTAATTCTTCCAACCCAAAGAGCATAGAATATCTTTCCATTTCTTTGTGTCTTCTTCAATTTCTTTCAGCAATGTTTTATGGTTTTCAGTATATGGGGCTTTCACCTCTTCCGTTACATTTATTCCTAGACATTTTATTCTTTTTGTTACAATTGTAAATAGGATTGTATTCTTAATTTCTCTTTCTGCTAATTTGTTGTTAGTGTATAGAAATGCAACTGATTTTTGTATGTTGATTTTGTATCCTGCAACTTGACCATATTCATTTATTATTTCTGAAAGTATTTGGTGGATTCTTTAGGGTTTTCTATATATAAAATCATGTTGTCTGCAAATAGTGACAGTTTCACTTCTTCTTTTCCAATTTGGATCCCTTTTCTTTCTTTTTCTTGCCTGATTGCTCTGGCTAGGACTTCCAATAATATGTTAAATAAGAGTAGTGAAAGTGGGCATCCTTGTCTGTTCCTGTTCTTAGAGGGATCACTTTCATTTTTTCACCCTTGAGAATGATTTTAGCTGTGGGTTTGTCATACATAGCCTTTATTATGTTGAGGTATTTTCCTTCTATTCCCGTTTTTACTCAGAACTTTTATCATAAATGGATGCTGTATCTTGTCAAATGCTTTCTCTGCATCTATTAAGATGATCATGTGATTTTTATGCTTCATTATGTTAATGTGATATATCATGTTGATTGATTTGTGGATGTTGAACCATCCCTGCATCCCTGGAATAAATCCAACTTGATTATGGTGTGTGATCTTTTTAATGTATTGTTGTATTTGATTTGCTAGTATTTTGTTGAGGATTTTTGCATCGATGCTCATCAGTGATATTGGCCTATAATTTTCTTTTTTGTGTGTTGTTCTTGTCTGGTTTTGGTGTCAGGGTAATGTTGGCTTCATAGAATGAGTTAGGAAGCTTCCCCTCCTCTTCAATTTTTTGGAAGAGTTTGAGAAAGATAGGTATTAAGTCTTATTGGTAGAATTCACCAGGGAAGCTGTCTGGTCCTGGATTTTTATTTTTGGGGAGGTTTTTGATTACTGTTTTGACTTCCTTACTGGTCATTGGTTTATTCAAATTCTCTACTTCTTGATTCAGTTTTAGAAGGTTGTATGATTCTAAGAATGTATCCATTTCATCTAGATTATCCAATTTGTTGGCTATAAAGCTTTTCATAGTATCCTCTTATAATCTTTTGTATTTCTGAGGTGTCTATTATAATTTCTCTTATTTCATTGCTGATTTTACTTATTTGAGCCTACTTTCTTTTTTTCTTGGTGAGTCTAGATAAAGATTTGTCAATTTTGTTTATCTTTTCAAAGAACCAGCTCTTGGTTTCATTGATTTTTTTCTATTGATTTTTTTAGTCTCTATTTTGCTTATTCCTGCTCTGATTTTTATTATTTCCTTCCTTCTGCTGATTTTGGGCTTTGTTTGTTCTTCTTTTCCATTTCCTTTAGATGCGCTATTAGGTTGTTTATTTGAGATTTTTCTTGTTTGTTGAGGTAGACCTGTATTGCTATAAACTTCCCTCTTAGCACCACTTTTGCTGTATCCTATAGATTTTGGCATGCCATGTTTTCATTTTCATTTGTCTCTGGGTGTTTTCTTGTTTCTCCTTTGATTTCTTAATTGACTCCATTGTTGTTCAGTAGCATTTTGTTTAATCTCCACATATTTGTGGCTTTTCTAATTTTCTTCCTGTAGTTGATTTCTAGTTTTGTACTCTTGTTGTCAGAAAAGATGCTTGGTATTATTTCAATCTTCTTAAATTTATTGAGACTTGTTTTGTGGCCTAATATGTAATCTATCCTGGAGAATGTTCCATGTGCATTCAAAAAGAGTGCATATTCTGTGGATTTTGGGTGGAATGTTCCATGGGTATCTACTAAGCCCATCTGGTCTAATGTGTCATTTAAGGCCAATGTTTCCTTATTGATCTTCTGTTTGGTTGATCTATCCATTGACATAAGTGGAGTGTTAAAGTCTCCTACTATTATTGTGTTACTGTCTGTTTCTCCTTTTATGTCTGTTAATAATTAATAAGTTAATAAGCTTTATATGCTTAGGTGCTCCTATGTTGGGTGAATAGATATTTGCAAGTGTTATATCTTCTTGTTAGATTGTTCCCTTTATCATTATGTAGGGCCTTTCTTTGTCTCTTGTTACAGTTTTACAACAACTATTCTTAAGTGGTTTGGGAAAAAAGTTCTTTGTACTGTACTTTCAACTTTTTTGTAAGTTTGATATTGTTTCAAAATTTAAGAAATACACTAATAGTTTTCAGCTAATTCATTTGGACTCTCTGGCTGCATAAACTAAAACATTTTCTGATGCAAGTAATACAAAAGAACTTGAATTAGCATAAACAAAAAGGGAAATTTATTATGAGGATTTAAGAATGCTTTATGGAGTCCAAGAACAAGAAAGAGTCTCTGGTATGAATAGGAACCAGGAAGTGAATGTGATCAGGACACTCTTTTCCACATCCTGTCTTCACTGCTCTCTGTATGTCCTCTTTATTCTTCTCTCTGCAGGCTGTTCTCTCCTGCTTCTCAGTAAAGCATGGGTACCAACTGCTCCAGAGTTTTGTGTATCAGGGTTTAGGTATACAGAAAAAGACTAAGGTAGGGGCAAGTCCAAATATCTGTGGAAGGGGCTTTGCTTAGCCCAGCTCAGGTTAGGGGCTTTCCTCTCTCAGTCAGCTGTTGCCAGGGAGTGAGGATCCCATTTTACTAACCTGAACTTTCCTAAATGACCACAAGGGACAGAATGGTAGGACACAGGGGCAGTTTCAAGAAAAAGGGAGAAGTTTCCAAAAGGGTACTCTGCAAAGTCTAGAATAGGCTTTTAGATCACTAGGAATATAATTATATTGTCCCACATATAATGTCATTTGTTTTCCTTTCTCTTTTCTTAATATAACTCTTATTTCTTTTTCATATTTTCTTTTGCATTGGCTACAATTTCCAAAATATTATAAAATAGTAATGGTTACAGAGGACATTCTTCAGGGTTTTAAGTATGATGATGGCTTTTGGTCTAGGAGAGAAAATCTTTTCTATATTAATGAATTATCATTCTCGTTGCAGTTATTGAGAGTTTTAACAGGAATGGATGATAGATTTTATTGAATACTTTCTTAGTATTAATGAAAAGATTTTCTTTTTTACTGATGTCTTGCATTAAACCAATACATTTCTTAATATTAAGCTATTCTTGATTTCATAGATGAGACCAGAGATTGGCCAACTGCAGCTCCTGGGCCAATCCAGTGGCCCTGTTTTTGTACTGCCCTTGACCTAAGAATGGCTTTTACATTTTGAAGCATTGTAGAAAGAAGGAAATAAAGGAAGGAAGAAAGGAAGGACAACAGGAAGGACAACGTAAGAAAAATATGCAACAGAAAATGTAGGTTGCCCTCAAAGACTAAAATATTTACTATCTGACCCTTTATAGAAAAAGTGCTTACCGCTGAGTTAGATCTTGCTTATAGTGGAGGATTAATGTTCTAATATACTGTTAAATTCAAATTACTTACATTTTAATGGAAACATTGACATCTATATTCAAATGTGATATTTACCTTTCTAATTTTTCTGTTTATTATCTTTGATAAGCCTTGGTATCAGTTATTCAGGGGCAATTTTCCATGCTTAAGAATTGCTTAGATAACATAGAATTATCTATTCCTTCAAAGTTTCAATGTCATCGAAGTGTAAAACTATCTGAGACCAGAGCTTTTGAGACATGTGTGTATATATATATTTTTTTTTTTTTAATTTTAGGAAAATACACATAAAATTTACCATTTTAGCCATTTTTAATCAGATAGTTCAGTGGCATTAAGTACATCCACATTGCTGTGCTGTCATCACCACCATCCATCTACAGAACTTTTCATGTTGTAAAACTGAAACTCCCTATCTTCTCTCCCCTCAACCTCTGAGAACCACCATTCTACTTTCTGTCCCTATGATTTTTACTACTCTAGGTACCTTACATGAGTAGAATCATACAGTATTTATCCTTTTGTGACTGTCTTATTTCAAGGTTCATCCATGTTGTAGCATATGTCAGAATTTCCTTCCTGTTAAGGCTGAATAATATTCCAATGTATGTATATACCATGGTTTATTTGTCCATTCATCCATCAATGGACAGTTGAGGTGCTTCTACTTTTTAGCTATTGTGAATAATGCTGCTTTGAACATGGTTGTTACAAACATCTGTTTGAGTTCTTGCTTTTAATTCCTTTGGGTATATATACAGCAGTGGAATTGCTGGATCACATGGTCATTCTATTTTTAGTTTTTTGAAGCCACACCATACTGTTTTCCGTTGCCACTGTACTATTTTACATTCCCACCAGCAATGCACAAGGATTCTCATTTCTCTGCATTCTTGCCAACACTTGTTGTTTTTATTTTTTCTGATGGTAGCCATCCTAATGCATGTAAAGTGGGATAAATATATGGCATATAATGTTTATTTATATATAAAAATAAATATATTTACAAATAAAATATACACATATCTAATCTCTTTCTCTTTCTTTTTCTCTCTCAGTTAAACCTACACAGGTTTTTGATTCTTGTTTGGTGATTTTACTTCCTCATTATTTATTTTCCTGAAGAAAAATCCCTATTTTGCTTAGTGTTTCTAAATGTATTAGTGTAGAATTACACATAGTATTTTAAAAATCAACTTCTTGCCTCCCACCATCATATTTTCTATTTACATGTTTTCTTATTTTAGCTTTTTGTTTCTCTGTTTTCCTCTTACAACACAACTAATTAGGATATATTTGGATATATTTGTCAATTCTATAAGTGTTCTGTTTTCTAATTTATTAACTTCTACTGTGGACTTTTTTTGTTTTTTCTTGTGCTTTTCTTGAAGATGCCTCTTTGTTTTGTTTTTCCTTACTTTTTGGGCTGATTATTTATTTTCTTTCTTTCAAGTTAATGAATGTATTTAAGTGTGAGAATTCCCTTTGAGTACAATTTTGACCACATTCCATATGTTTTGGATGTCGTTTGAAAATGGTCAGTAATTTTAAATTTCCTTTTGTCCCAAGAGGAGAATTCTTTTAATCTCCATGTGATAGTTTTGCTGTGTGTGTGTGTATGTATAGTGTGTGTGTGGTGTGTGTGTGGTGTGTGTGTGGTGTGTGTGTGATGTGTGTTGTATGTGCACGTGGGTTCTTGTTACTTCCTTTGTTCTCCTTTTCCCTTTTTCCACCTCTCTCTCCCCTTCCTCCTTCTCCTTCTCTTTTATATGTACACTATATTTGGTTTCTTTTTATCTTGTGTGGTGATTTCAATGATAGATGGTTGTTTCTAAGTTTCTTAAGTGTATACTTAAACATGCATTTCTTGACTTATCAAAATCAAAAGTAATCTACATTTTAAACTCATCCCTGTGTATGACAACACATTTATCATGCTTTTGTTTCTCTAATCCTTTCTTTTTCAATTTCTAGTCTTTTAAAATTTGTTTAGGGGTTACAAATACGGATTTCTCTTTCTGTCTGGATGTGTAGGTTTTTTAAAAAGCATTTTTTAGTTGAAATACACCATAATTATAGAAAAATACCTAAAACATATGTACAACCTATCCAAAAATTATCACCAATTTTTCATTATTAAAATATTTTTTAAGAATAGTTTTGTCTTGGGGCTAGCCCCGTGGCTGAGTGGTTAAGTTCGTGCGCTCCACTTCAGTGGCCCAGGGTTTTGCCAGTTCGAATCCTGGGCCCGGACCTAGCACCCCTTGTCAAGCCATGCTGAGGCAATGTCCCACATAGCACAACTAGAAGCACCCACAACTAAAATATACAACCATGTACTGGAGGGCTTTGGGGAGAAGAAGGAAAAAGAAAATCTTTTTTAAAAAGGATAGTTTTGTCTTTTGTAGTCATTTTAGTATCATCCCTATAATGACAATTTTAGCTTAGTGCTACGCTTTAGTTTCAGGGCTCAATGAAATTATTTTTATATTACACCAGTAATTCTCAATCTATGTAAAGTGGTAGCATGGGAATCTAATAAAGTCTTAGAGGCTCTGATACGTCTTCCAAGGATAACGCGTGTGTTCACATGTGCACATGTTGCATATACTTTTCAGGGGACTAAAGGGTACCATTCAGCCCAGTAAGGAGATATGGACTTTGGTACCTTTTCTTTACTGAGTTCCCACTTTTCATTTATCTCCTAGTCTGTTGGAGTATGACTTAAGCCATGTAAGGCACATTCATGGTGAAGTCCAGGGTCTTCAATCTTTTCTTGGTAGGTTAGCGCAAAAGGAGAAGTTAGGTGACTTGGCTAGAACTTCTGTTCACGTTTCCTTGCTTGGACTAGGGAAAAAAATTTGAATGATTCATTTCTTATGTGCTTGTGTATGTGTGTTTATAAATGGATGCCTATATCATCTCCTTTGTGAAATTTTTCTTATCAGATAGATTCTAGTTAACAGTGTGCTTTCAGAAACTAACTGCAGCATAGGGTAGGGCAGATCACTGATACTCCTGGTGATTATAATGGACAAGAAAGAAGCCTATAATTTAGAGAGAGATGCTCAGTGAAGCAGAAAGGTAATTAGAAAGGTACACAGTTCAGGCAATGCAGAGTAGGTGATTGTGTTCTCTTTCTCTTAAAAGGGACTGTGTGCAAATTATAAGTAAGAAAGCTAACTTAGGGAGTAAAACATTTTAATTTACCGAAGGATGAGTGAGGCTGAATGAGGCAAAATTTTAACTGAAATATGACTGACTTTCATGTTATGACAGGGTTGAACATTGGAAAAATAAAAGATTGACTGTAGACAGAGGATTTATAAATGTAACAGCAAGAATGGGGATAATTAGATGTAAATTACAAGGAGAACAAAGAATGGTATCCTGTGTAGAATTGATCATTTTCATGCCCCAATTTCACAGGTTGAATTGTCAAAGTTGTCCTGTCCTTACCTTCATCCTCTTGCCTCCTCTCCTCTCTACCTTCCCTTTCCTGTTCGTAGCTCCTTAATTAAATTTGGTTACCAAAGTATTCCCCCACAGGCAGTAATGGCTTATTTTTAACAGAAAACATATATTAGGAAATATAAATGAATCTCTAATAAAAGAGCTGATAATGTTGTGAGATTAAGATATTTTATATTGCTATAGTTATATTATGTATGGTCCAATAACAAAGGTTATTAGTCAATACATGGCAATCGGGACATTATTTTGATTAGCTAAACTCTTGAGGATCTGTGCTGGAATTTTACTATATACAATAACTGTATTCCAAGATGAACCCTCATAAAAGCTATAAATAAGAACAAACCATATGTGGCTGGCCTCTCATTGGAAGCTGTTAGTTTGCCAGTACTGACCTTGTAGCAAGAATTTGCACATCATTGCATTCCACCAAGGAATCTATTACACAAAGTATTAGTGAGAAATGTATATCATACTGATTCCCATTAGAATTTTTTTAATTTTAAGTTTTTATTCAAGTTATATATGTGTATGATTTAAAGAGCCACCGAATATTATAAGGTTTGTCAAGGCAAAGAGCAATCTTCAACACCCCCTCACCCCCGCGACAGGTACTTTCAACTCTCTTAGCTGATTTTCTCACTGCCCTCCATCTTTCTAAATAGTATCCTTATTTTTGCTTTTTGCTTTTTGAGTCTTAGGTATTTGCCCTATTGACTTCCCACTTTTGAAGATAATGATAACATATAAGGGGGGGTTTCCCTAAACTCAGGCACTCAAAGGAGAGTGAGAACAACACCTTGTATGTATGTTGGCACAATTTAATATTTGAAAAATTGACATCCATGAAGTCACTATGATACTGCAGTAGTTCCCAGACTTTGCTGTGCACCGGAACCCTCTGGGGAATCTTTAAAACGTACTGATGCCTGGCTCCCACACCCCAACATCCTTATGTAACTGGTGTGGTATGAAATCTGGGTATTGGGAGCACTTAAAGTTCTCCATGCGATTCTAATGTACAGCAAAGTTTGGAAGCCTGTAAAGAGAGTGGCTAATTGGAAATATGGGCTTGGAGTCCACGTAGTTGTACAGGTGAACATATCTAATTCAAGGTAGAGTTGCAGGAGTGTGATGAAATGTAAGTGCTTCAGAGGAAAGCAGAAGGTCAGACCTGAGTCTCAAGAAGTGATGTGATGAAAGTCAACCACACTGCCAGACCCAACATGTCTTTTAATTACTTTTTATGACATGTAATTTTGTGTCTCTACAAATGTGTATTAGGTAGTAAATCTGAAATTAATGACTTTCACTCATGTCTTGCTGAAATCTACCAAAATACCACTAATGCCTCAGAACTTGTCAGCGCCTTCAATAGTTCTCAGGCATTTACAAACTGTAATGTATGATGCCCAAAATTTATGCTTCCCTTGTCACTGTGCATGTTTTGCATCTCTACATCTGGTTCCCAGAGATTAGAAAATGTTCTCTATAGCTAGAGATGGAAGGTGTGGAAATGCAATAGAGACAGGGGCCAGGTGATTTCTAGGAGCAGCGCTTTCCCTTATGGCTGTGACGTCTAGAAAACCTTTCAGTTAGGAAAATATTATTGAAAAAGACCTTTTCACCAGTCCCAATCTATAAAATGATATGATCAGCCAAGCCTGGGCAGTTTTCCTTTTAAAATTTTTGTTTCTTTTACATAAAATATTTTTTTAATTAAAGTAATACTTATACAAAGTTTAAAAAAGTCAACAGGACTATAAAACTCATAATGAAAACTAGCTGTCCCTGATACGTCTCTCTCCCGGGTATCTTGAGGCTGTTTTCTCAGAGGTAATGCTTTTAACTCCTTGAGCTCTTTCTTCACTTATTTCTCAGTAATATTCTTATTTTAAGTTTCTTGATATCTGCATTTTAGAGATTAGCAGTTGATTTCATGCTGTAGAAGGTAAAGAGTTTTACTCTTTTCTCTCCTCTCCCTTCATTCAATTTTCCTCTCCCAATGAAATTTTATTACAATTTCTAGTTAAATCGATACTCAGTCATTATTGTAATTATGTAAACTTTGTTCTCAGGTGAGCTGAAGTGGGAACTAAGGTGGGGAAAGAAAGGCCTTTAGAGTCCACCACTGCAAACAGGGCTGCCTTTGTGGTTGGTCCAATATAGGTTTACGTGATAAAAAAATCTCAGTGATGACAAAGACTTTCAGGTTTCCTAGTGAATAACTTTCTTTAAGGCACACTCTTTATGAAGTTTTGTTTTAACAAATTTTAGGGGGAAATCATAAATAAAACCATCTCTAAAACTATAATTGAAGTGGGATCTGAAAAGTAGCTTGTATTATTCATCCATGCACATTTTTAATTCAACTGAATAAGTTCTGATTTCTTTCAGGAATTGAAATAAATTCCACCACCACCGCCACCAATAATAACAACAACAAAACAGAGGACGAGAGCCTATATTGAGTAATATTGCGTTGAGTCATTTCAACATTTAAATAATATGTGCTCCTCATTGTGCTGGGAATTAAATAAATAGAAGTCTCAAGGCTAATTTTGTTCATTGTGTTCATACTAGTTTTATAATGTTTTCACTCCTGAGTACCTAGCATTCCCACAGCATTCTGTACTTCTGTTGCCATAACACTTATTGCATTGTTTTAAAATTTTGCAATTACCTGGAATTGCTCATCGCCTCATAAGCAATGAGCGAGCAGGGCTGTGGCGCATTCGCTTTGAGTCCTGAGTCCCTAGAACAGGGCTCAGCACACAGGAGATGCCCAGTGTCTTTTTCTTAAATATATAGTAAGAGTCAAGATACGTTCTCTGAACGACAGGGATGTTCAGTTTTGTTTTCACACAGAGGCGTGGGTTTCTTAGCCCTGGAGATGGACTCTAATTTTGCTGATGGCGTTGACCCTATAGAGAGAAAAATGATAAGACACCTTTGCTCTGATTCCTGCACGGTTACTGGTCGTTCACTACAAGTCCCCAAACTCCTGAGCCCTTCGTCTTTAGTTTCCTTGCTCTGCACAAGGATCAGGACCACGAGGCAATTTTATTCTAGGTTAATAATTGGTAATAACAGCTCCAATTAAAAATAAATAAGGTGAGAAGCACGAACCACCTTTTGGAATGTGATATCTCAGCAGAAGGACACCCTGGACAGAAAACCACCCTCCTTCCCCAGAGAAGCAGCTGCCTCCTTGAGAGTGAACACAAAGGGAGTGTGAGGGTCGAGTGGACTCTGCATTTGTAGCCAGGTTAGTTGCCCCTCAGTGATCAATGAGATATCGAATATTGGTGCCAGCTTGCTTTCACAGCTACTCTGGGGAAATACACTGGTTTAAAGAAAATACAAGTTATCAATTATGCCATCAACTACAGATAACCATTGTTATCATTTTTGTGTATATCCTTCCAGGTTTTTCTATTTACTTTTTAAATGGGATTATGCTGTAATATGTTTTATAATCGTTTTTCTTTTAAAAATCTAGTACAAACATTTCCATATAGCATTATGTATTTTCCCATAAATTATTTTTTAATTGATTTCTTCTCTGATCTTTATTTTTTCCTTTCTTCTACTTACTTTGTGCTTATTCATTCTTCTTTTTCTAGTTTCTCAGATAAAGCTTAGGTGATTGCTTTGAGACTTTTCTAATATATGTGTATAGTGCTATAAATTGATCTCTATTAAATCTCATCCTGCAAATTTTGATATGTTGTGTTTTCATTTTCATTCTAGTAAAAATACTTTCCAATTTCCCTTTTGATTTATTTTTTGACCCATGGGTTGCTTAGAAGTATATTATTTGGTTTCCAAATATCTGGGATTTTTTTCAGAGGCTTTTCCACTATTCATTTTTAATTGTGGTCAGAGACGGTACTTTGTATGACCTGAACCCTTTACAATGTGCTGAGACTTGTTTTATGGCTCAAAATATGGTCTGTCTGGTAAATGTTTTACATTCACTTAAAAAAATGTATATTTTACAATCATTGCATGAAGTATCCTATAAATGAATTCAATTAGGTCAATCTGTCTGACAGTACTGTTTAGGTCTTCTCTAACCTTACTGGTTTTCTATTTATTTGTTCTATCACTTATTGAGAGAAGGGTATTGAAATTTCTCACTATTTTGCTGTAAATTTTTCTGTTTATACTGCAGTTCTATCAGTTTTTACTTCTGTATTTTGAAGCTCTGCTATTAAATGCATAAATATTTAGGAATATTATCTCTTCTTAATCAGCATTTTGACCCCTTTATCATTATAAAATGACCCTCTTTATCTCTAGATTTATTGGTCTGAAATACTTTGTCTTATAACAATATAGGCACTCTGGCTTTCCTTTGATTAGTGTTAGCATGATATATCTTTTTTCCATCCTTTTACTTTTAACTTATTTGTGTTTCTTTACTTAGAGTGAGTTTCTTGAAGTCTGCATTTGGTCGGACATATTTAATTATTTAATTCAATATGACAATCTCTGCCTTTTAATTGGAGTGATTAGACCATCTACATTCAATGTGATTATAAATTGGGTACAAATCGTCCATCTTGCCATTTTTTTCCTATTTTTCCCATCTGTTTTTCTTGTTGTTGTTCCCTTCTTCCTCTTTTTTCTGCGTTTTTGGGGTTATGGTTACATTTTATCTCATTTTCCATTACATTTTACCCCTTTTGCTCGATTATTAGCCATGATTAGCTGTAACTTTTTGTTGTGTATTTTAGTGGTTGCTTTGGGCTTGATAGCATCTATCTTTAACTTTTGTCACTGTCTACCTTCAAGTGGTATTGTACCACTTCACATGTGGTATCAGAATCTGAAAACCACATACTTCCATTTCTTTTCCTCTCTCCAACGTTTGTGCTATTGTTGTTGTATCTTTTACTTCTACTTATGTTATACACGCTACAGTGCCCTGTTATTGTTAATTATCTTTTAAAGAGATATAAATAATAGGAAAAATAGGCATTATATTTACTCATCGAGTTACCATTTCCGGTGCTCTTAGTTCCTTTGCGTAGATCCAGGTTTCCGTCTGGCATCATTTTCCTTCTGCCTCAAGGACTTTTATATTTCTTGTAGTGTAGGTCTACTAGTGATATATTCTTTCAGCTTTTGTATGTCTGAAAAAGTCTTTATTTGACTTTAATTTTTAAATTTTAGAATAATTTGAGATTTACAGAAAAGTTATAAAAATAATAGAGAGCACTCTCATATGCTCCTCACACAGTTTCCCCTGATGCCAATACCATGGTACTCCTGTCAAACTAAGAAACCAACAGTGACACATTACTATAGTCTAAACTGTAGATTTTATCCAAAGTTCACTTGTTTTTCCACTAATATTCTCTTCCTGTTCCAGGATCCCAACTAGAATCCCGCATGGCATTGGGCCATCATGTACTCTTGGTCTCATCTGGTTTGTGACAGTTTCTCAGCCTTTCTTTGTTTTTCATGACCTTAACAGTTTTGGGGAGTACTGGTCAGGTATTTCACAGAATGTTCCTCAATTTGGTGTTGTCTGATGTTTTTTTCATGACCAGGGTCATGGGTTTCTGGGAAGAATACTACAGAGGTGAATACCTTCTTATCATATCATATCAGGGGTACGTTCTATCCACATGACTCCTCACTGGTGATGTTAACCTCATCACTTGGTTAAGGTGGTGTTTAAGGTAGTGTAAGGTAGGGTAAGGTAGTGTTAGGTAGCTTTCTGCACTGTAAAGTGACTATTTTCCCCTTTGCCTACTCTGTTCTTTGGTGGCAACTCACTAAGTCCAGCTCAAGCTCAAGAAAGAGCAAGGAGGAATATCTACTTAAATTGTTTGTAATAGTATTTTTTCTGTAAGGAAAATTCACCTCTTCTCTCCCATTTAAAAATTTATGTTATCATTTATTTATATCAGCATGGTAGACTGAATGGTTGACTTCCAAAGATATCCATGTCCTAACTCTGTAAAGATATTACCTTACATGGAAAAAGGAATTTTGTGCATGTGACTAAGTTAGGGAACCTGAAATGGGAGGTTATCCTGGTTTATCTGGATGGGCCCAATGAAATCATAGGGTCCTTATAAGAGGGAGGTAGGAGGGTCAGATTCAGAGAAAGAGCCAAAGGAAGCAGAGATTGGAGTGATTGGGGCAGCCTCGAGAAGCTGGAGAAGGCAAGGATTCTCCTCTGGATCCTCCAGAAGGAATGCGGCCCCACTCAACACCTTGATTTTGGCTCACTAAGACTGATTTTAGACTTCTGACCTCCAGAACTGAAAGATAGTAAATTTGTGTTATTCTAAGCCACTAAGTTGTGGTGATTGTAACAGTCAGACACTGATACAATTAGCATCAACTCGTGTATGTATTTAACTTTGGATTACCATTTTTGAAAGATTTTTTTTTTGGGTGAAGAATAGTTTAACAGCAGTTTTTTTCTTTCTTTCAATACATTAAAGGTATTACTTCACTGTCTTCTGAATTTCTTTACTTCTGGCGAGAAATCTGCCATCATCCTCATCTTCGTTCCTCTGTAGGTAAGGTCTTTTTCCTTTAGACACTTTTAAGGTATTCTCTTTATCACTAGTATTAAGCAATCTGATTATGGTATGCTTTGGTATAGTTTTCTTCATGTTACTTGTGCTTAAAGTTTGTTGCTTCTTGGACATGTGGATTTATAGTTTTCAACAAATTTTTAAAATCTTCAACTATTTCTTTGAATTTTTTTTTCTGTCATCCCCTCTTCTCTCATTTTGAGTCTACAATTCCATGTACATTAATCTCCTTGAAGTTGTCCCACAACCTACTGGTACTCTGTACACTTTTCAATCTCTTTTTTCTCTGTGTGTTTTATTTTAGGTTTCTAATGCTTTGTCTTCAGTTTCACTTATCTTTTCTTCTGCGGTGTCTAAACTGCTGTTAGTTTCACCTAGTGAATTTTTCATTTCAGACATTGTATTGTTATCTCTAGAAGTTTGATTTGGGTCTTAACATGTTCAATTTTTCCTCCAGTCCCCTGAACATATGGAATACAGTAATAATGACTGTTTTAATAACTTTATCTATTAAATCTATCATCAATCTCTTTTCTGGGGCACTTTTGATGGACTGCTTTTTTCTCTTCATAATGAGCTATGTTTTCCTTCTTCTTTGCATGCCTGATAATTATAATTGGATGGCAGGCATTGTGAATTTTACCTTGATAAGTGCTGGATATCTTTATATTTCTATAGATATTCTTGAGCTTTGTTCTAGAATGTGGTTAAGTTATCAAAGAAATTGTTTTATTCTTTTAGACATTGCTTCTAAGCTTTGCTGGGGATGATCAGAACACTGTTTAGTCTAGTGTTAATTTTCCCCACTATTAGGACAAAACCCTTCTTATTATCACATCTAATCTCTGTGAATTATAATGTTTTCCACTCTGACTGTTGGGAGCAGGCACTATTCCTGGTCCAGTGAGATCATTGGTAGTTGTTTCCTCTAATCCCTTTGGGTAGTTCTTTCCCCTGCACTGGGTAGTTTCCTCACGTTCATGTACCTTGGGAGAACCATTTGCATATTAATGAAGTGGTCTCATTCAGCTCTCTCCTTCTGGCTACTCTGCCCTGTGAACTTCAGCTGCCTTGGTCCCCCTGGACTCCTAGCTCCATTTCCTCAACTCAGGGAGACCGTTGGCCTCTGATTGAGTTCCCCCTTTCTGTGCCATGGTCTGAAATATTTCTCAAGGCAGTAAGATGGAGTAATTGTAGGGATCACTTTATTTGTTTCCCTTCTCTCTGGGATGACTGTCCGGTTCTGCCTATTGTCCAATGCCTGAGAACCATTGTTTCATGTATTTTGTCCATTTTTTCGAGATGTTTCAGGTGAGATGGTAAATCTGGTCTCACTTGCTCCATCCTGTCTAGAAGTAGAAGTCTTCTTATTCTTCCCACAAGTCACTTTTAGTTGAATGGCTGAACTGTAATTGATTTTAAAAGCCTCTGTTGTTTGTTTGTAATTGCTGAATCATATTTCATTGTATTGATGTGTTATCTATCATTTAATATGCAACCTATTTTTTGACATTTGGGCCAAGTTTTAGTTTTCCTTTTTGTAAACAGAGCTATGAGACTATCTTGCAGCCACATATTTGTGATTTGCATGTTTATTTCCTTACAATATATTTCTTGGTATGGACGACTGGCTCGAAGGGTGTGCGGCATCTCAAAACAGTCATTATATGCTGCCAAACTGTGCTCCAGGGACATAAAACCAGCTTATATGTTGCCCACATACGACTTAATTGGATGTGGAGCTCTCCTCAAAATCGTTTTTTCTCTTGACTGTTTTATGTCATCTTCTTTCGTATGTACCTCTCATATTGGGGGGACCCTCTGTTATTCTGAGTTCCAGATTTAACAGCACATCTGACGCTCTGAAATATTGATATTTAGATCATTCTGTGGGTCAGCCCAGTCTTGATTAATATGACTTTCTTCCAGCTTTAGCACTTTCCAGATTCTTTTGCTTATTAAAATTCTTCTGCTTCAATTAATTTGGTTTATATGTACTCATTTCTCTGCTTACACCAAAAATATTTATTTTTCTAGTAAAAAATACAAAGCTTTGTATTGGTCTTACCTATATCAATATTAGTACTCAGAAATCAATTTTAAGACTATTCTCCCATGGGTGGAATCAGAGAATAGCAATAGACAAAAAATTATACCCTGACTATTGAGGCATTGTTATTGGACCAAGATTTTGCCTGGGACCCTCTATCTTTAGGATGAGTTATTTCTCTCCAGCCTCTTTAGTCTAAGGGGACCTACTCCACCAGCACTTGAACTTGCTCTTTCAGTAGAATTAAAGCAAGCTGGGACTCATGACTACACATACAGCATAATCTTTCATAAGAGGAAACTCCTTGTATTCAGGGTTATCTACACATAAGTCTAACTTAAAGGGACAAAATGATGAGGTATAAGGAATTTTTGTTTATTTGTTTTTACTTTTGGAGCCTCCAGATTTGATGTAAAATTTGCAGTTAGAACAGTAGAAGCTGCTTTAAGAAGTGTTGTTTTTAATTTTTCACCCATAAGATTATCTCTAGAGACAGACACACAGTATAAATAATTGGGTAGGAAAGTTCAAAAGCATCTAGTAGGGTCAGAGCCTATCCTCAGCCTTTTGACTCTCAATTTTATGCTTCCACCCTGAACTGATCAGCCTGTTCAGAACAATTAACAATGGCTAACATGCCCAATGTTACTGTGAGTCATTCTTTTTAAAATTTGTACTTATTCTGCATTGCATAAGTTCTTTTGTTCATTGTACGTGCATGCAGAAGAACAATAAATGATCGTGGAGGCAGGAGAAATCTAAGTGAGTCCTCACTCCTTTTATAGATGAGAAAGTTAGAGCCAGAGGAGGGAGGAAGCGACTTGCCTGAGGACACAGAGCTGGCCATGACTGGAGCAGGACCTCATTTAAGTAGACCACTGCTCAGCCAATGACTTTCGCATTTCCTTAATTAAAGAAGAAATAAGATCAGTGTGAGCATCTGTGTGAACATGTGTTGGGCAGGATGGGGGAGGCAGGTAGAGAGGAGGAGACATATAGAAATTAGTCAATCTTTAAACTATGAAATAACAGAACTGAAAGGACATGACCACAGTGGGTTTAAGTATATGTTCTAGACAATCTATTTTCAAAATAAAACACTAAAAGAAAAGCTACACACATTTTTTCAAACCCCTTAATATTGAGGCCTAATGCTGTAGTTATTATATTTCATATTTGTGTGAAAATGTGTGATCTGGGCTGTAAAGGGAAAACCCCCCATATTTCTAGCTCCATAACCTCTTAGTAGGTGCTATAGACTGTCTGCGTCCCCCCAGAATTCAATCCCCAGGGTGATGCTGTTAGGATGGGGGGCCCCTGGGAGGTGATTGGGTCATGACAGTGGAGCTCTCAGGAATGGGATTAGTGCACTTATCAGAGCTCCAGAGAGCTTTGGACCAAAGAGCTTCCTCACTCCCTCTGTCATGTGAGGACACAGCCAGAAGATGCTGTGAACACCAGGAAGTGGGCTCTCAGCAGACTCCGAATCTGCCAGCATCTTGATCTCGGACTTCAGCCTCCAGAACTGGGAGAAATCAATGTCTGTTGGTTAAGCCCCCTAGCCTGTGGCAATTTGTCACAGCAGACTGAACAGACTGAGACAGCAGGCCCTCAAATTAGAAACATAGACAAAGGTAGGCAAGTGAAATGTTGACAAAAATAATCCATAACCAATCTATAAATGAAAATTTGGGTGAGTTTATTCTGAGCTTAGATCTGAGGATTAGAACCCCGGGCCTTTCTTCCCGAAGGAAGAAGGGGCATCAAAGAAGTGGGGTGCACAGAATGGTTATATACCCCCAGAGAGGATGTTTCACATAGGATTGAAATGTCCGTTTTACAGTAGTCGCGAGACTGCTCTGTCGGCACAGCGATTGATGGACACAGCAGGTAGGTCTTCTGTCTCAGTGAACACAGCAGGGTGGCAGGTCTGTTGTCTCCAGCTGAGTGGTCACAGGTGAGCTGGGTGGTCAAAGGTGAGTGCAGCGATCAGTTCCTAGCCTAAGGAAAAATGCTTATCCCTAAGGAAATGCTAATGTGGGGGGAAGTTGCACCTTTATCTCAAGGGCCTTTGTTCTGGCCATAGGAAATGGCTAAGCAGATATACAATGGGTGCTCAACAGCCACAGTCAGGCCCTTTTGGAAAAAAAAACAAAGTCAGGCCGAATTAGGTTTATACCAAATGGCTTCCTCATATACTCCAATATATCCTATTGCTTGCCATTTTTATTTGTCAGAAACAACAGAGAAAGGAGGCTTGACGCCGTGTCCCTCTGATCACCTCCCAGTACAGGGGTCCACCAGTCCATGAAATTCCAGAAACAACATCTGACCTCAGAGTGACTACCGGTAAATCATGCTCCCCAGCCTGAAGATGAGCCCTTCACCCCTTCCTTCGTTGGGGTGGCGATGAAGGGCTGTGGGGGAAACAAGCCCCCTATAGCCTTCCCACCAGGGACACCGATTCCTGTGGGATGCTAAAAAATGCTCAGGGTCTTGCTTGGAGTAACTCTTTGTTTTTCTTCAGAAAACAATTCAACAAATTGGTTTGGAGAGCTTACTCTATGTCTGGTATTAGATTAGACCGGGAAA